CAAATAAGTATAAATAATTAAGTATAAATACTTGTTTAATAATTGCAATAACTATAAATAATAAATACTATAAAATAGGACCAAATGGGAGGTACGGTCATATATAACGTCAAGTACGATTACATAGACTATAATGGGGTTCCCATAGACGGAGAAATTTCTTGAGAAATTTGTTAGAAATTTCTCGTAATTTTTGGAAATTTCTCATTTTACCCAACACTAATTTTGACATTAAAACAACTTATTTAATAGAATATTGAATAAGTTGTTTGTTGTATTTTATAAGATAGCGATTTGTTTTGAATATAATGCATATAAATATTTACAATATTGATTACTACATAGAATTTTATACATACACTGTATGTACACTTTATGTCATACAGCTATGTAATTTATTTAGATAATTATTAATTTTACATGTTTGATGAATGACAATTAATATTTTAATTAAATTTAATTAAAATAATACATTTATTGAACGGGATGAATTTGATATATTCTTAAGTGAAAATTGCAGAAATCAAATACATGCTCGTTATTAAATTTACCGTAAAGTTTATTTAATCAAATATAAGTTATCAAATATATGAGTAGTACAATAAAATGCTTTAATGCACACCCGTTGGGTACAGAGCATAGGTGGCGACACCGCACTGGTTGTCACGATTGCGGGCCATTTTGATATACCCCGCGTCGCCGTACGCCAAACCCCACGAGTTTTTCATCAGCCAATAGTCTACCCCATTGTCGGCGCCGTAACCCACGACTACCATCGCGTGGTGTAAGTCCTTAAACCCGTTCTTACACTTGGGCTCCACATAAACTCCGGACTTATAAAACTTGAACGTCTCCTGCGATGCGTCCACACCGATAGCCACCGGTCCCACTCTGGCCACAGCCTCCTGGAGGGCCCTCTCGTCACCCGTGGTTACGTTCACATAGCCTGTGATGGCGGCCCTCCTGTACTCCTCGCGATAGCTACAGTTGTATGAATAGGCCTTATAGGGAGAGGTGATGTCCGCCTCGACGCCACCGTATTTCATGATAACCTCATAGGCCTCGTGCATATACCCACCGATGAAACAGTTTAAATCGTGTAATTTACCAGGGTATATACAGTCGGCCACGTTTTGCACTGATAGCTCGGTCAGATTGCCCGTTTTTAACGCCAATTGACCTTAATTTAATTAATAATTGAATTAGATAGATCATTTAAATATTTTATGCAATATTCTTTTTATATTACTTTCAATTGTGTCGATAGCGCTGAAGGCGTAACAAAACTCGCACTAAGAATACGTGATAAACAAATGCAAATGAATGGGTTATAACTGGATAACTAAGGTATGATTTGTTACATACATCCAACTGATCCTTTACACGCGTCACCACATGTTTGTCCCTCCAGTCGACACTTATGGGTAATTCATTAGCAATACTATTGATAACTGTTTTGCCTTTACTTTCCATCCTTTTCCCAAACGTTGGTCTCGAGTGAAGTGCAAACCTCTGGAGATATTCCTCGTGAGTGATGTCCGCGAACTGATTGACAGCCAATCGATAGGTATGCAAACCATTGTCCGCATCCCTGTTATGGTCGACAATAAACCGATAGTTTTTCTCAAATATTTGCCGTCTCTTCGACTGCTCTTCGACTGAAACCATAAAGTTTTTATTTCGCCCGAAATCATGCTTTTTAACGATATTTATATTAATTTTATTTATGATTATAATTAATTATAGAATTTTAAATAATAATAATAATAAATACCTTAAAGTTTTGCCACTCGGTCTCAATTTCATGGAGACTAATGGCATGAGCGCTGGCAATAGTGATGATTGCTAACAAAATTATTAACTTCATTACTTTCTATGGTTTAAATTCATTTATTTATTGTTAATAAAATAATAATAATTTATTATACAGTATATTTTGGTAATACATTCGCGTATTTATATATCATAATAGTGTAACAGTTGTTAACATTCCCATTTGATTGCTTCCCATATGATTCAATTATGACATTGTCATAGTGTGTGGCAAATAGTTTAATGCAGATTACATTAATCTTACCAGATTAGCATTGTAACACAATGGACTTTTGAGAGTCAATATGTGGGGTAATTTTGTATATTTGTAATTTTTATTATGGGACAACATTGAATTGATTGTGATAATTAATAACTAAATATACTGCATATACAATAATTTTTGTTAATAATAACATTTTAAAACAATGTCATTAATAATAAGTAATTCGTTGCGGAAATGCATACAAATTGATAGAACTCTTCGCTATTCATAGGAAACAAATCGAAACAATAGAAACCAATTGTGGGTCCGATTGACAAACGCTCCGCAAACACCAGTGCTGGGAAAGCGAGACTAAAAGGGTTAACCAATCGCTAAGCGTGGTAATTTTTGTTATTT